TTGGAGCTGTTTCACAGGGCAAGGAGTGGCTGAGTCGTTCTTTGTCGGAAATGTCAGCTCGTCAGCTTCGAGTTCTGGCTGCTGCGGGTGGTGCGAAGACAAAGTCTGACGGGATTTGGCTGCCTGTAGCAGAACTGCGCAACTCGTTGATGAAAGTCTTGGAACCCTCCACGGAGGTTGGGTTCAACCAAAAAATGTGTTGTGACATGAGTTGTTTTTGTGACCGAATTTGCATGTTTGTGAGACATGGCATCATGTTTGTGACATACCAGGGATCGACAAACAGATATCTTCAACATTTGTTGCATCTCTTTAGGTCTCTGTAGGGGCTGTCCGTGAGATCTCGAGAATTGCATAGTGATCATGCCAATTTTCGTTTGTGATGTAGTGGATCTATGTGTTATTATTTCATTGATATGCATGAGGAGCGGGAAAAAATGTAGGATGATGGTTGTTTTGTGGTGGCGGTGTGTTCCATGCTGTAGGTGGACGAAGCATCGGCTGCCAAATTGGAAGAACTTCACCTTGGAGCTGTTTCAGAGGGTGAGGAGTGGCTCCATCGTGCTTTGTACAAAATACCTGCAGAGGAGCTTCGAGTCCTGGCCACTGCGGGTGGTGTGGAGACACATTCCAACCGGAATTGGTTGCCTGTAGCAGAGCTGCGCAGATCGTTGATGAAAGTCTTGGCGACTTCCACGGAGGTTGGGTGCAATAAAAAAAGGCATCTTGAAGTTTTTATAGGAGCTGTTTGTGAGATCTCGAGAATTGAATAGTGATTATGCCGGCAATTGTAGATTGTCGGCATTGCAAAAACGTCAAGTGCGGCTGTTTTTTTTTATTTTTATTTTTAGCAGGAGCCGTGTCACGATGATACCCTTGCATCTGGTGCAAGTGTCTTGTGGGGCTGGCTGAAACGATGTTTGGAAAGTCCTGCGGCGCCTGATACTACATTGCTTCGAGATGCTGTTCCAGAACAAAAAGATCGCATGCGTATTTTGGCGGTTTTGGCCGACAAGACCATGGGTCAGGTGGAGGGATTGCATCTTTCGCTTGCTTCTTTGGATGCTCGTGTGGTGGATGCGGCGTTGCCGCTTCTTGCTACTTTCGATGAAGTGCAGCAATCGTGGCCCAGCAAAGCTGTCACGGATTCTGTTGATTTATTGGATTTACCAGGTTACTTCGCCTCCATTGGCATGGAGCATTTGCTGCGGCATCAGGTCGTGGCATTGTTGTCCTGTGTTTTGCTGAGTGTATCGGAAGAAAGACGACTTCAATGGTGTCGTTTGGTTGGGTTCACCATCGACGCGGACATGTTGGAAGTGGCGAGCCGTTTGTGGGATGTCCACACACTTACAGCTGCTTGTGAATGGGACAGTTCTGGTGGTTATGAGGATCGTGACAATGTGGTGGAGGTGAGTGGTTGTCGAAACTATTGTATGGCCTGCGTTAGTTTTTTTTTTGTGTCTTGCCGGTTCGCGGTGGTTTGGTCTTTGCGTTGCTTGCAGGTGGTCCTTGGCATCCTGTGGGGCACGAAAGCGTTGGTGGTGGATGATGAGGGCGAGGTGCGCCGGCGTCGAGGTAAGTTGGATGCTGCAGACGCGACGTACCTGCGATGCCTGATGCGGAGATATGGTTGGGAAAGATTTGACCAGGACGTGGAGGAGTGCTATTGGTCCGAATGTTTTCCATCTGCTCGCTATGGGAACAAGAAGTGTTTACAGTTTGCTTGGCTTTTGCTGACGCAGTTACTTCATCCTCGCCAGACGCCTGCATTGCAAGCTATGCGCTCACGTCACGATCCAGTGACGGTCGGAGAACTCCGTGATTCCAGGACGAGTGCGTGTCGTTGTTGTGTGTTTTGTGTACTTTTCTTACCTTTGTCACCTTTGCGAATAACAACATCATGGTACCGCGTTTTTTTTTGGCAATTTATGCGGGTATTTGCATGCTAAAATGAATTATCATGTGTTATACACGGCATCATGGTACCGAGTTGTTTTGTCCCATTTATGGGGAAATGTCCATAATAAAATGACATGACATATGTCATAGATGGCATCATGTTTGTGAAATACCAAGGATCGACAAACAAATATCTTCAACATTTGTTGCATCTCTTGAGGTCTCTGTAGGGGCTGTCCGTGAGATCTCCAGAATTGCTCATGTAAAGCATAATGGTACCGAGCTTTTTTTGTTTGCGCGATGAATGAGATAACGTATGTTATTTATACATCATGCGCGTGATCATGGTAGCCAATATATCTCGAGATCATCAGAGATATCTTCCCGAGGTTTCTGTAGGGGCTGTCCGTGAGATCTCGAGGAATTGCATACTGATTATGACATCGTGTGTACAGGAGCGGCGTGTCTCCGGTTGTCGTTCAATTGGAACTGGATATACGACAATGGCAGGAAGTGCAGCAGTGCTTGCGGTTGCCGACTTCAGATGAAGACGGTGTGCTGTTCAAGCGGGTGTCGGAGTATTTGGAGAAGGAGAAGAAGGTGCGCTGTCGTTCCATGAAAGCTGCATTCCCTGACGATGTGGACAACATCAAGGAGTTGAAGTTGGATTGTTTGGAAGCTTCGGATGATGCAGAGAATGGTATCAAATGGAGATCCGACACGGAACGGAACTTGATGCAGTCGATTCCTGGGTGGACTGAAGGAACTCTTTGCAAGGCCGCTTTTGTGCCATTGAGTGCCATCCTTTTCGGCGCTGGCACTTCTGTTGTGGAATGTGTTCCGGAGGTGGATGTGGAAGGGGATGGTAATGCAGTTGTTCCTGACAGCACTGGCTCTTCATGTGTGGAAGCTGCTGAGGAGGCAGATGTGGAGATGGATGTTGCTGCGGGCATTGCTATGGAGGCCTTGCCAGAGAATTTGCAAGTTGCCAAGAAAGCATTTGCTGTGTTGGAAAATGTGAATATGAAGTTTGAGATCAAGCTGCGTGAAGTTGCGCAGATGTTGGACTGCAGTCCAGCTATCACTGCTATTGGTGAAGCGCTGTCTGGCCTTGTGTTATGGTCTTATGATGATGATGATGTTCAGAATCCGCTGGAGCGTTACCAGTGCAGACTGTGCAATTTTGGAACTGGCGGACAGAAAGAGTTTTTGGAACATTTAGTGGAGAAACACAGTGGAGGTGCCGATGCCAGCCGTGTGCTCATCGAGTATCGTAAGAAGGTCATTGGACTATTGACACACTTGGGCCCCACAGTTTCTTGTCTGCGCTGACCTTTTGTGGGATCGGGGTACTGAGCTTTTTGTAGCTATTTGTGTGGAATTTGTATCATAAAGTGAGGTAATAGTTTTAATTCACGGCGTCGGGGTACTGAGCTTTTTGTGTTGTATTTCTGTTAACACGATCGGAGTAGGGTAGTGTTACATGTTTGATGTGAGATGTCATGGTACTGAGATTTGCTGATGATGTTTTCATGAAGTGATGCATCAGGTCACCAGCTTTGCTTCGCAACGTCGGCTCATGGAGAATGCTGATGAAAGGCTTCGACAGCCCGAGCAAGGAGGTCGCTTTGAAACTGCATGCGTGGTGTGTGCTCGCAGGTTTTGGCGGGAGCAGTTGAAGATGTTAATCTTATTCCAAGATCCGGCTGGCAGCACCGAGATGGAGAACGGTGCGGTGGATGTGATTCCGTGTGGTCAACAGGAACGCTTGTGTCGAATTCTTGGAGTTGAAAGATACAGTCGAAGATGGCCGAAGATCCCTTTGGAGGCTCTGCATGCTTCGGCTGTTGAACATCCATACTGCAAGGGGGAGCATTTGCTCTTACACAAGCGTCGGATGCCGGTGGACTTGAAGGACCCTTACCACTGACTGCACGGGTTTGTTGCTTTCATTGAGGGATCACGGTATACCAACTTGTTTGTAGCTAATTTTCTGTTCACGGCATCGGATTACTCGACTTTGTTTGGGCGAAGTTCTAGTAATATGTTCGGATGTCACTGCAATTGCAGGATCCTTGCCTGGTGTGCAGTGACTGCAAGGGCTCGTTGATGTCATCTAGTCTGACGTTGCCTCGGCACAGCTTGGCCAATGACCTTTGGATGGGCGAGCAACTGTCCGCATTGCGTGGCCTGGCCTCGGCCACGAAGCGACTTTTGCCGATGACACGGGCGTGCATGCAGGTTGTGGTATTGCAGCCCGGGCATTTGTCGCGTGAGGAACGTCAGCATGGCTTTGTAGGGAATTCGATTTTTCTCCTGCAAGCAAAGCCGTCTTCAGTGCTGACCACGCTCCCTCCAAAAGATGTTGATATGCAAGATGCAGTTTTGTTTGTTTTGGTTGGAAGCCAGAAGGATGCAGTCAAGGGCTCTTCTTTGTTGCGTGCCCCGAGAGATGAGTACACTGCCGCTGTTGAATGTTTGAGGAAAACGAATCCTTTCTATGCGGAGGTGGAACTGGGAGATGGCAGTGATGATCTTTTGGAGGGCTGTGTCCTGGAAACTGCGGAGGATTCTGCATTGGCGCAGGAGTTGCTGCAGCGAGGTCCTGCAGACGCACAGGGACAAGACGCGTCGGATGATGAGAAGATGGACGATGCGAGTGAAGAAAAGCGTGAAGGCCTAGATGCACCAGGCAGGGTTCTGAATTGAATTTGGTTTTATTGATTGCTTCATGGTAGGGACTGTCCGAATGAAGCGATCGAAAACGATGTTAATATCGAGTTTTGCTTTGTAACGTCTGCCTTTCGGAACCATTTTGTTTTGTGTGGCAGAAAGTAGATATGGAAAACTCGCGCACACATTGCAGGTGCAGGTGATTGCTTCATGGTAGGGCACCTGTCCGAATGAAGCGATCGAAAACGATGTTAATATCGAGTTTTGCTTTGTAACGTCTGCGTTTCGGAACCATTTTGTTTTGTGTGTGTGAAAGTAAATATGGAAAACCCACTCACGCAAACATTGCAGGTCATTTGATGTCTTCCATTGTTGGCTTGAACGATGGTGCGGATGAACAGAACAAGTGGGTGCGTGTGTTGAAGGATGTGGAGGAGGTCTGTGTGAGACAGGGTGGGCGGCGAAGGAGCGATGCTGCCGATGTGCTTCGCAACCGCATCAACAATGAAATGCCGGCCCCGGATGCATCTGTTCCTGGTGAACTTTTGGGTCGTGAAGGAGCCCAAGAGAGGCGAACATTTCAAAAAATTCGGAGAATTCAGAAGATTGCCCGTGGCACGGCTGAAAATGAGCGGAATGTGGAATCAGCTATGTTCCAAGTCAAACCTTCCAAGTTGGTTGTTCCGACCAGAGACGAACCGCTGTCGATGTTTGATCCGGCCACCTGGGGCATGTCGTTTCCGGATTTGTTTCCATGGGGTGATGGCTTGCCTTTTTTGAAGCGTGAAGCCAACATGGATGCAACAGAAGTGTTTCGATATTTGTTGCTTCGGGAAGAACTGCATTACAGTGAGGGTGATGCCTTGTTGCCAAGATGGTCGCTTTCAGTGCTTTGGATTTGGTTTATTCAATTGTTGCTGAGTTTTCTGTTTTCCCAGGATGGTTTGGTGGTTGTGTTTTGGTGGTTTCAGTTTTTGAGTTTTGTCGCATTTGTTCCAAGTATGCGGGCAGGAGCTTCCAGTGATGTACGACGTGCAGCGTCGATTGCAGTTGATGCGTGCGACGAAAGCGCATGTGATGCGTCGTGGCTTTGGCAAACATTGTCGTGTTATTTCTGAAGTCAACACGGACCAATTGCTCAAGGCAATGGCATTGCATGGAGACAATGCGGACCTCGGGGAGTTGCTGCGAGATCCGCAGGTGGATGTGGCCTTGAAGCGAGCATTGGGAGGAGTGCTTCAGGCAACTTCGAGCATCATTGGCATGGAAGGGCACCGCAGCCAGATCCGGTTGCGTGGACATGCGGCTGGGTGGCATTATGGTTCTGCGCATCTGTTCATCACTCCCAACATCGCAGATATGCGCTCGTCCTTGCTACTTCAATTGCACCTGCAGAATGTCAAAGTGGAAGAGTGCAAAATTGATTTGGACTGGGAGGCGGAGATGCCCGAATTGCCCAGCGCAGCTGCTATGCGACGGATTGTCGCGAGCGATCCCGTCGCTCAAGCGCGTTGCTTTGCCTTGATGATGGATTTGTTCTGTGAGGAAGGGTTGGGCATTCTTCCACCTTTGACCAAGGGAAGTTTTCGGGTTGGCGTGGCAGCAACCTTCGAAGATGGCATTGCGAGTTCCCTGCAAGGAGGTGTTTTCGGTGATATTGTGGCGTTGAACGGCCCGTTGGAGACTCAGGGTCGTGGTTCTTTGCACCCCCACATGCTTATTATCTTGCTGGGACACGACCTGGGAGATCGCTTGCGGAAACTGATTCATCGGGTGCAGCATGGTGAGTTGGTCGTTGAGTTGCAGCGGTGGAGTCGTCGTGTTTTGGAGGCTGTGCAGCGTTTTCAGTATGATTCTCAATTGGCCTTGTCGGAGCAGTTGAGCAGTCCGACACAGCCACTGCCTCTGAATGAACGTCAGCGATCAGAATGTGGTCACCAGTATGAATCCGCGCCTTTGGTGCCTACGGAGCCGGATGGACACGAATTGGAAGCCTTGAAGTTGGGCGGATCCGTGGCTGGCAAGGTTTTGACATTGACCGGATGCTATGCTTCTTTGCGACCCAAGTATCTGCGACGCAGTGAACGTTCTGCGGGAGATGGTCTTGAGTGGAAGAAAAAATTCTGTGAGGATTACAGACGTTTGGTGATCCAGAATCATTTTCACAAATGCACGAAATCATGTTTCAAAAAGTTCCTCGCAATGAGCTTGGCAAAGTTGTGGTGGTTGTTGTTGTTGTTGTCGTTGTCGTTGTTGTTGTTGTTGTTGTTGTTGTTGTCGTGGTTGTTGTTTTGGTTGTGGTTGTGGGTGTGGTTGTTTGTTTTTGTCGTTATTTTTGAGTTACGTGCGGTTTCGGCTTGGTCATGGCTTTTGTTGTTCGTTTACATGTTGCACGGTTGCTGTTACGGTATCAGTTAGCGTAAAACATTTTTGTGTAGAATGGAAAAGAGACGTCTGGAGTGTACAACGTGCATAGTTGGCTGTCAACGTGAAGAAGTATGTATATGTAAACACGACATGTTGCTTTGGCTGAGGAAAGCCGTGAAAGGCAAATGTGGGTGTCGCTTTGGTTGCTTTCACGTTGAAATGATTCTGGGCAAGGAGGACAAGCCGAAAGTGTTATGTCGGAAAGGTTGGCCTCGAGTTGCGAAAGCAGGTTTTTCTCGGTTGCAATATGAGACAGTAGATTTGAAGGAGGTTGAAGAGTTCAAAAACGAAAACCCGCATGTGTTTCAAGCTCGGCGTGATCACCCTTTTGAAGGGATGTCGAACCCGGTGGCGCAAGCAGTGATGCGATGCAATGTGGATGTCAAGTACATTGGACGCAATTTTTCAGAAGCAGACCTTTTGAAGTTTTGTGATGGGAGCATAGACCAGGAGCCTGGAGTCGAAGTTCCTCCTGCTTCTGCATCTTCTCTGTTGGAACTGTCCGGGAGTGGATTGCAGGAGATGGAACTTCAACGCCCGGCGCTTGGTTCGTCTTCGGATGCTATATCGGGTGCTGATGCCTCACATGCAGAGCAACCTGTGTCGACTGAGTTGGATGCTTCGGATCCGCCGCCGAAGAAGCAATGCATGGGTCGTGTTTTGGACACGGAGCATAAGAAGATGCAGACGATGAGAAAGGCGCTTGATCGCATTCTGGTGGACCTTGCAAGAGATATGATGAATGTTGGTTTTTACACTGGTGAGTATGCTGCGAAGAAGTTTGAAATTTCGCGGAGTATGTTACCTGAATTGTATGCAGGACTGCTCACTTTGGGGCGGTCGAAACGGAAACTTTTGACGGCATTTTTTCTTACCGACTTCGTGTTGCAGTATTTTGTGCAAATGTCCTTAGTAAAGTAATGTAACATATCTGATTTGGAACATCACGGTACCGAGCTTTTTTTTGAGGATTTGTATGGGAATTCCTACAACGAAATGAGATGGGTATAGATTATTCCGAGAGCGCATGCGAAGGGTTCTTGCGAAAAAAAAGCAGCCGTATACTAGATCTTCACACCTTCACACCTGCAGATCTAGATCTTCACACCTTCACACCTGCATATCTAGATCTTCACACCTTCACACCTGCAGATCTACATCTTCACACCTTCACATCTGCTGATCTACATCTTCACACCTTCACACCTGCAGATCTAGATCTTCACATCCTCACATCTGCAGATCTAGATCTTCACCCTCACACCTGCAGATCTAGATCTTCACACCCTCACATCTGCAGATCTAGATCTTCACACCTTCACATCTGCAGATCTAGATCTTCACACCCTCACACCTGCAGATCTAGATCTTCACACCCTCACACCTGCAGATCTAGATCTTCACCCCCTCACATCTGCAGATCTAGATCTTCACACCCTCACATCTGCAGATCTACATCTTCACACCCCCCTCCCACCAATGCAGATCTTAGATATCTGGTCACATTCCTCACCACCTGCAGATCTAGATCTTCACCCCCTCACATCTGGACATCTAGATCTTCATACCTTCACCCCTGCAGATCTAGATCTTCACCCTCACACCTGCAGATCTAGATCTTCACACCCTCACATCTGCAGATCTAGATCTTCACACCTTCACATCTGCAGATCTAGATCTTCACACCTTCACACCTGCAGATCTAGATCTTCACACCTTCACATCTGCAGATCTACATCTTCACACCTTCAGATCTGCAGATCTCCTCTCGCTCTTCTTCTATTCTCTCTTAAGGCGGGGGCGGTGCCGCCGGAGCGCCACGAAACGCAACCCTTTCGCACGAAATGGACGTTGGACGTCCAAAACCTAGGTAAAATTGCGATTTTGAAGCGTCGCCGGCAACCCTTTCGCACGAAATGGACGTTGGACGTTAAAAACTGGGGAAAAATTGCAACTTTGAAGTGTCCCGCGCAACCCTTTCGCACGAAATGGACGTTGGACGCCAAAAACCTAGGTAAAATTGCGATTTTACTTTGTCCATCGCAACCCTTTCGCACGAAATGGACGTTGGACGTCAAAAACTGAGGTAAAATTGCGATTTTACTTTGTCCATCGCAACCCTTTCGCACGAAATGGACGTTGGACGTTAAAAACTGAGGAAAAATTGCGACTTTGAAGCGTCGCGCGCAACCCTTTCGCACGAAATGGACGTTGGACGTCAAAAACTGAGGAAAAATTGCGACTTTGAGGTGTCCCGCGCAACCCTTACGCACGAAATGGACGTTAGACGTCAAAAACTGAGGAAAAATTGCGACTTTGAGGAGGTCATCGCACCCCTTAGGCACAAATGACGTTGGGCCGTCAAAAACTGAGGAAAAATTGCGCACTTTGAGGTGTGTCCGCGCAACCCTTACGCACGCAATGGACGTTGGAGTGAAAACTGCTCGGGAAAAAATTGCGACATTGAGTGTTCAATAGCAACCTTTACGGCAGAAATGACGTTGGACGTCAAAAAATGAGGAAAAAATTGCGATTCTTTTCACTGTTGTGTAAAAAGCTCTGTGGTAAAGCGTCGGTGTGTATTGTAAAAGCGTTTGTGTGATAAAAAGGCTTCTGTGTTGTAAAGCGTTTTGTGTGTAAAGCGCCGTGTGTAAAAAAGCGTTGGTTCTGGGTGTAAAGCGTTGTGTGAAAAGCGTCTGTGTTTGTAAGGGTCTGTGTGTAAAAGCGTCTGTGTGTAAAAGCGTTTGTGGGTAAAAGGGTCTCGTGTTGTAAACGGTTCCTGTGTGGGTTAAAAGCGTCTGTGTGTAAAAGGGTCTGTGTGTAAAAGCGTCTGTGTGTAAAAGCGTCTGTGTGTAAAAGCGTCTGTGTGTAAAATCGTCTGTGTGTAAAAGCGTCTGTGTGTAAAAGCGTCTGTGTGTAAAAGCGTCTGTGTGTAAAAGCTTCTGTGTGTAAAAGCGTCTGGGTGTAAAAGCTTCTGTGTGTAAAGGCTCCTGTGTGTAAAAGGGTCTGCGTGTAAAAGTCTCTGTGTGTAAAGGTTTCTGTGTGTAAAAGCGTCTGTGTGTAAAAGCGTCTGTGTGTAAAAGCGCCTGTGTGTAAAAGCTTCTGTGTGTAAAAGCCTCTGTGTGTAAAAAGTCTGTGTGTAAAAGCTTCTGTGTGTAAAAGGCCTGTGTGTAAAAGTGTGTAGTCTGTGTGTAAAGAGTCTGTGTGTAAAAGCTTCTGTGTGTAAAAGCGTCTGTGTGTAAAAGCGTCTGTGTGTAAAAGCGTCTGTGTGTAAAAGCGTTTGTGTGTAAAAGCGTCTGTGTGTAAAACTCTCTCTGTGTGTAAAAGCTTCTGTGTGTAAAAGCGTCTGTGTGTAAAAGGGTCTGTGTGTAAAAGCTTCTGTGTGTAAAAGCACCTGCGTGTAAAAGCGCCTGTGTGTAAAATCGTCTGTGTGTAAAAGTGTCTGTGTGTAAAAGCGTCTGTGTGTAAAAGCGCCTGTGTGTGAAAGTGTCTGTGTGTAAAAGTGTCTGTGTGTAAAAGCGTCTATGTATAAAAGCCTCTGTGTGTAAAAGCTTCTGTGTGTAAAAGCCTCTGTGTGTAAAAGTGTTGTGTGTAAAAGCGTCTGTGTGTAAAAGGGTCTGTGTGTAAAAGGGTCTGTGTGTAAACGCGTCTGTGAAAGTCTTTGCGTGTAAAAGCATCTGCCTGTAAAAGCGCCTGTGTATAAAAGCGTCTGCGTGTAAAAGTGTCTGTGTGTAAAAGCGTCTGTGTGTAAAAGCCTCTGTGTGTAAACGCGTCTGTGTGTGTGTAAAAGCGTCTGTGTGTAAAGGAGTCTGTGTGTAAAAGCTTCTTTGTGTAAAAGCGTCTGTGTGTAAAAGCCTCTGTGTAAAAGCCTCTGTGTAAAAGCCTCTGTGTGTGAAAGTGTTTGTGTGTAAAAGCTTCTGTGTGTGAAAGTGTGTGTGTGTGTCTAAAAACATCTGCGTGTAAAAGCGTCTGTGTGTAAAAGCCTATGCGCGTAAAAGTGTCTAGTGTCTGTGTGTAAAGGCGTCTGTGTGTAAAAGCCTATGTGTAAAAAAGTGTCTAGTGTCTGCGTGTAAAACCTTCTGTGTGTAAAAGCTTCTGTGTGTAAAAGCGTCTGTGTGTAAACGCTTCTGTGTAAAAGCGTCTGTGTGTAAATGCGTCTGTGTGTAACAGCTTCTGTGCAAAAGCGTCTGCGTGTGAAAAACAATACGAAGGATAGGATGCAAACTAGTGTTTTGTACTTGTAATATATTGTCTTGATACTACTTGTCTCGCCTGCCTAAAATACATCTTTAATATATTGTCTTGCAATATAGTGTCTCAATACTAACAACAGAAGACCCTGCTCTCTCTCTCTCTCTCCCTCTTTCTTTCTCTCTCTCTCTCTCTCTCTCCCTCTCTCTCTCTCTCTCTCTCCCTTTCTCTCTATCTATGTCTCTCTGTGGTTGCAAGACACGTGTCATATGATGCCCTTTACCAAGCAGCACAGTGCATATGCATGGGTTGTCACATGTATCCTCTTCTTAATCAATCTTACTTTTCACAACTTACCCCTCCATAGCTCATATAAAATTCACCAACCTATCACCGACTATTTTTTACGACTACCATACTCAGAGATGCTTGAAAAACGGCTTTTTCGCTCTCGGGCCAACCGTCGTCTAGTTGGAAGGTGCTACGATCTGAAGAGCGCGTACAAGCAATTTGCGGTGCATGGTTCCGACAGGGACCACCTTCACATGGCTGTCCGGTCGCCAGTGGGCAGCGCTATCAGACTGATAGGCTTCAACGCCTTGCCTTTCGGGGCAATTGGAAGCGTCGCGGGTTTCCTGCGGGTCAGTCTTGCAGTCTGGTTTGTGGGCCTAGTTGCGCTTGACCTTGGTTGGACTGTTTTCTACGACGACTACAGTGTGCAGAGTCGAGAAGAATTGCTAAACAGCGCTGCCTGGAGAGTCGAAACTCCACCGAACCTTTTTGGGTCTGACTTTTGCAAAGGAAGGAAAGAAGTTCATGCCCCTCAACCACAAGTTCAAAATGCTTAGCCTGGAAGTCAATCTGGAGGGCCGCAAAGACAACTCAGCGACCATTGGACACACTAAAGAACGTAGGACTGAGCTGGTGACCAAGGTCAATGACATCTTGGCAGAGGGCTGGTTGGATGCAAAGGAAGCCGAAATGCTCCGTGGTCGGACGATTTTCTTCGAGTCTTATGCATTTGGTCATTTAGCAAACAGCGCTGTGAAGAACATGGGAAGATTCTGCGTTGAGAGCTCAAGCGGGAAACGCCTTGATTCATCGGTTCAAGGAAGCCTCCTTCTTCTTAGAGATAGAGTTTTGGAAGCCCCTCCAGTGGTGATGGGCCGACCCCCTGGGAGATGCCTGGATCGTCTTTACAGATGGAGCTTGGAACCCGGAGCTCTAAACTGGAAGGGCAGGAGGCCTGACTCTATCTGCTCAAGGTCACTTCTTTCCTTCTTTAGCGACATCGTGTCGGAAGACATAGCTGTCGAGCTTTTCAAATCTTCCTGCAATCCAATTCACGAGTTGGAGCTGATGCCTGTTCTTATAGCTTGTTCGGAATGGGGGCCCATGTACAAAGGAGCACTCATAGTTTGCTACCTCGACGACGAGTCGGCAAGGACGGCCCTAGTGAAAGGGAGCGGAGAGACGCATTGCCTCCCTCCTTATCAGCGACTTTGTGAGCCTAGAGGCTCAGCCACAGCACAAGACCTGGTTTGGAAGATGTCCCAGTCATAGCAACCATCAGGTGGGGCAAGCAGACTCGATCTAACCTGGATCGAAGGCAAGGGTGCATGCCGAACCAATATCAATTGGGAGAGGCTGAGACATCGCCTTGGTCTAGTTGGGGAGATGCCGGAGATGCGATGACTACGCCCCATCTGCTGGATGAAAAAAACTGCATCTTTTTCCACTCGCTGTATTTCATGTGTGCAATTTGTTTTATTTCCGAAACTGAAGTTTCAGAATTTTTTGGGCGAATGGACGAGTTGATTTTGCGTCGACTGTCATTTCACCACATGTGGCGCGGAGTTTATTTTCACACGCGTACACATACATGTGCGTCTATATGTTCATGTCATAACATAGACCACGCCGTCTTAGTATGCCCGTTAGCGATACGCACGGCCAAACTCTTGTGCTATGTGTTTTGTATTTGTGGAGTTGGAAATAAGTTGAGAGTTTCTTGAAAAGAAACTCGATTTTATTTCCTCACGCAACTTCCGTTTTTGTTTGTTTTGTTTTTGGACAAACCAAGAAACAAGAACCAAAACAAAAACCTGAACACATGAGCACATCAAAATGGCAACACTTGTTTAATTTACGACGTGTTGCTCTTTCACTCAAGGGTAGGGAGGGCGGGTCGTCCCAAAATTTTGACAAAAGACTTGTCCCACCCAAGACACGGTGTCTCCCACCACGCCCCATCTGCTGGATGAAAAAAGACTGAGCATCTTTTTCCACTCGCTGTATTTCATGTGTGCAATTTGTTTTATTTCCGAAACTGAAGTTTCAGAATTTTTTGGGCGAATGGACGAGTTGATTTTGCGTCGACTGTCATTTCACCACATGTGGCGCGGAGTTTATTTTCACACGCGTACACATACATGTGCGTCTATATGTTCATGTCATAACATAGACCACGCCGTCTTAGTATGCCCGTTAGCGATACGCACGGCCAAACTCTTGTGCTATGTGTTTTGTATTTGTGGAGTTGGAAATAAACGTAGCAGACCCTGCAGGGCACCAGCCCTCCAGCGAGAACTGCCCATGATACCGCCAGAGCTCACCTCAGAGTTGCTGCACTGTCTATCGACCCTCCCAGATCCTTGGCCCCTTGCAAAGCTTACCATCAACATGGAAAGTGCCAGCCAATGGGTCTCCAAAATGGGGAGACTATTTTTTGCTGACGAATTTGTTCGACACACGGTGGGAACATATACCTCCAAGCAACTCCCTTGAACGACCTGGCGAAAGCCAAGAGGCGTACTGTGAAGCTGCTCAGTGGAAGCACAAGGCAGTCTGAACTAGGAAGTACATGGAAGCCAAGTACCTCCAAGCAACTCCCCAGCAGGAAATTGCCCTTCAAGCCGTACGAGCAGTACTGAACGACCTCGAGCTGCGAAGTCATTGAGTTCATGTCGGAATGGATGGTAGCCCTGCTGATGCCTGCCAAACATATCCTTGAAATTAGGTCGCCCCACCTCGCTTTCATGTTGGTGAAAGAATACTGCTTCCGAGAGCTTTGCTTAGGCCTCAAAGTTGCAGCATCTCTCGACCGCAACGAGTCATATCAGCGAACCATTGACGGACAGATCCGTTGTATCACGGCTGACTTCAAACCCAAAGGTGCCAACGTTGCATGAATGTCAATTACATTAATGTATTCATCCCTGCCTGGATGGTCCCTCCCATGTACCACAGCCTACGCAGGGAAAGCATCAAAACGGCACGATCACAGAATGCAATGGGGGTCAAGACTCTCCGTCCCACATGGTTTGAAGACGAAACTGTTGCCAGAGCTGCTGCCGAAGGAACCCCGAACACGCTCGACCCTATGCATGGATCACGACTCACCATCAAGGAAGATGCTATCCCTTCGTGAGCAGCCACGCTTTGCAGCCCTGGAGGTAGTAGCCGCTCGCGGACTACTAGCAGCAGAAACATGGCAGTGTAACAAATCGCACATCAGTCTTAAGGCCACGATTGACGTTCCGTTACTTGGATCAGTCATCGAACAAAATGGTGATGGTTTGTTAGAAGACTCCCTGATGCCAGTTGGATGGCCACTCCACCTTGATGGAGCAGTCAAGCAATGAGGGCGGGCCCACCCCCTTCGTCGAAGGGGGGCTTGAAGGGGAGGCTTAAGGGGAGGCTTAAGGGGTCATGAAGCGTGCCCCCCCTCCCCCCTTTCTTGAAGGGGGGAAGCCCTTAAGGGGGGGCTTAAGGGGGAGCTTAAGGGGGGGGATTAAGGGGGGGCTTCAAGGGGGGCTTAAGGGGGCGCTTCAAGGGGGGCTTAAGGGGGCGCTTTAAGAGGGATGTTGCTGCCTTTTACAGCCATTGGTTGGGGCCTTCATTTCAACCCATGGTGTATCAAATGGGAGATGCAATTGAAAGCCATGCAGCCAGAAACCATCATGCCTGCCTTCTCAGAAGTTTCAGGGCAGTTTTCGAAAAGGCGTATCACAACAGCGGAAGCCAATTTTTGGCTTAGAGACGTGTTGGTGCGTGCGGGCCTTACTCCAGAGAAAGCTGCCAGGTTTAGCACCCACAGCTGCAAGGCAACCATCCCTACATGGGCTGGCAAGCTTGGGGGGTTCTCCATGGATGAGCGACGCATGTTAACGCACCACATGGATGCCAATGCAGTGATGCCGCTTTCCTATTCAAGGGACAATCTGACTGCCTTGCATTCCAGAGTTTTCAGGATGTTGACAGTTGACAGCCATTCGCAATTTCGAGTTTGATCCAGATGCTTCCAATGCTGCCCGCATATTTCAGGAGAACAAGGACCTGCTGGACGAGCCTGTGGAGCCACCCCAACAGCCTGGCGTTTGGGATGCGTCCGAATCTGACGTTTCAGAAGAGGACATCTTTGCTGAAAGCTGCAAATTTGTGAGTGCTCAGTCATGTCAATGCCAGCAGACACAGTTACTGGACAGAGATTACTGCACAAAGACTCCTTGGTGGTTCATGTGAAACGTGATGACCAGACCATGTGGTGTGGCAGAAAACTGTCGTCAAACTATCGGCAGTGGAAAGAGGGAGACCCTGACTTCTCCCAGTTGCTGGTGTGCCAGCAGTGCGACAAATCGCAGCCGTGAGGGCGCAGAAAAAGTGGGGTTGTTGCGGCAGCCAAGTTTGAGGCGGGTGCACCGCAATCCAAACAGGTTCTTGCAACATTAACTTCAACAATTTTTAATTCTCCCCCACTTTTTTTTTTTAGTCCGTTTCTCTCTTACCAATTTAGGGCAGTGTCGCATCAAGTTTGAGGCGGCCAGGTCGCAAACCAAACAGATGTCAGTGCACAACATGATCACGCCAAGCACGATCTTGAAGTCATTAGTGCATGAGCGTTAAAACATGTTTATCAGATGCACAGTCATATGCACATCAAGTTTGAGGTGGCACATGCCACAATCCAAACAGGTGTCGTCTTTCACTGATTTTTATGAAGCTGAAGCCTCACAAATCACTGCGATCCTTGTGCATCAAGTTTGAGGCGGCCCAAGTCGCAATCCAAACAGATGTCAGGAATCAGAGTGAAAGGGTGTTTGATTTCAATAGACTCATGCATGTCGAGGTTTCAAATGTTTTTCAATCATAACATCCTTTTACAACAACTTTCAGATTTTTCTCAGTCACTGGCGTTATTGACCTGGCCATGGTTTCACTGGAGTCGAAAGCGGCATGGGAAGCACGTGCAAGGGCAATCGGGGTGCCCGAGGGCTTTTTGGTAGAGCTGCAAGGATGCAATCTGGATACATTTGGTCAGTGGGCGTTTTGCTGCCAGACTGACCAGAACAGTTTTGATGATACACCCATCAAAGCTTCAGTGGAAGCGCTTTTGGGCCGTGAGGTGACGCCCCAAGAGATCGTCCTTTGCAGAAGGTTGTACTTTGAGGGTAGAACATATGCAGCTTCAGATATGCAAGCGAGAATTGACCGCACTTCAGAGGACAAACCGAGAACCATGCCACTTGCAGAGCGCATGGCCAGGATTGAACGCCAAAAAGGCGATCTTGTCGGGGTCACATGGACGGCGGAGTTGGAGCCGGCCCACAAGTTGGTTGACAAAATCGTGGCGATGCAAGACGATGGGGCCCTGCTCTTCATACCACCACATGCTTGCATCAGCCGAGTGCAAGAGATCCACCAGGAGAAGCATGAAGTTGCCCTCACCTTTGATGCTGCTGGCAACATCCGCATGGGGAAGAAGGCAGAAGAATTAAAGTGCGACACCAATGGTGACCTTAACCTGAGGAATGCTTGGACAAGAAGGAACCTGGCCTACGACCAGGCTGGATTAGCCAGCTTTGTGGTTTTGGAAAAATGGACAACAAAACTGATGTTGGCCAAGGTCAAGGACCCACCATCGGGATACCGCTACATAACCACACAACAAATCTGTGAGTGTGACAAGGAGATGTGGCTGCAGCTATCCCAGCTCTCTCGAGGGAGGCTGCAGCCAACAACACCAGATGCAAGGCCGCTGGACGCCTTCATTGAGCAACTCACCACATCGCCAGAGGTTTTATGCTTCCTGACACCCTTACAGGGTACCAAGCGTGATGAGGGCGATCACACTGATGCACCTGGGCCCAAAAAGCCCAAGCCTAACCCAGGAGCACCTTCAGTACCAGGAAAACCAGCTCCAAAAACCGCAGACCAAGCACCAGGCGCCACCAATTGGCGTAAGCTGCCCCAGGGTTGCCAACGGAAAGGCGCCAACGGTTGGAGGTGTTTAAAGTTCCAATGGGGACTGTGCAACAGACAGAAGGAAAGCAAATGCAAGTTTGGGATTCATGAATGCTTCAAATGCGGTGCAAAGCGGCCCTACAATCAATGTGAACACTGACTTTCAGTAGCAGCTGAGAAGCCTGACAATCAACGACAAACGACGTTTATTGAATTTTTCTCAGGGTCAGGAGCTTTTTCTCTGGCTATGAAAAATGCAGGCTGCCAAGTTTTTGCCGTGGATCACCAAGCAAATCGTTTCACGCCAAAGGTGCCCACTTTCACCATGGATCTGAGCCTTGATGACGAAGTCAACGTGGCAAAACAGATGTTAGAATTTGTGAAGCCAGATGCAGTCCATTTTGGACTTATGTGTGGTACATGCAGCCGAGCCAGAGAACACCAGGTATCCAAAGAGTTGCGAAAGCAAGGGGCCCCCACGCCCCAACCACCGAGAGATGAGTCAAATCTTTTTGGACGGCCGGGGTTGTCGGCTACAGACAAGATCAAGGTGGACAAGGCCAATGTTATCTATAAGCACGCCATCACCTTGCTTATGGCATGCTACCTTCTCAACTGCATTGTTTCAATTGAAAACCCGGCACGCAGCTGGTTATGGCCGTTGCTGGTGATACTTGTCAAGCAGACTGGAAATGAGGGGTTCATCAACTGGTATTTTTCACTGGAGGCAACCTTGTTTGACGCGTGCATGCATGGTTCATCGCGCAACAAAAGCACAACTATTTTGGGGTCTCCAGGTGTTTTCAACTCCTTAGCAGTGCGTTGTGACCACTCTCATAGCCATGAGCCTTGGTCTGCCAAAAAACTTGACGGTAAGGGATGGGTCTTTGATACAGCAGCTGAAGCAGAGTACCCGGCGATACTTGCTAGGCGTTTAGCTGCCTGCATTTTGCAAAAGCTCGAAGCCGGTCCAACTTTTCTGAACCTGAAACAACTGCGCTTGGACAGCCTTCAAGCTCAAGGGCGACAACACCGAGCGCTTCAACAGCTGATCCCGGACTTTGAGACTTTTCGCTGGCTGCCGCTTAGCTGACAATGCCCGCTTAGCTGACAATGAAAAGTCCCTTCCACCTAAAACTGCGGGGGACGAAGTAGAGGTGGCTGAAGAATTACAGTCGAATGGGAGTGGTATCAAAGTAGGTGTTTGTGTGGAGCCGGAAGGTCACATTGCGAGAGCACTGCAGCTTTTTCACCCAATGGACTCCACCATTGTTTTACCTGATCGGCTAATGAAAGCCTTGTTTGCCATGGTCACCAAAGAGCCTGCAGTCTTAGCTAGAGAAAGATTGGAGATGCTGAAGCTCTACAGAAACAGAGCAGCTGATTTGAGTATAGCCGAAGCAGAGTTGCATAAAAAGCTTCCAGCGCACGTTCAGGGAGTTGTCAAAGGCAAACGCCTCTTGCTTTTTGAAGAGCGCCTGAAGGCGAACCTTTTCCCAGACATGCAGGTTATGCGTGACTTTTTGGAAGGTGTTGATTTAGTGTGCGAGGAGCCTTTCTCAGAGCTTTTCCATGAGAAGTTGCAACCAGCCGCCATGACTGTCGATCAGCTGAACTTGTCAGCCCCGCTGCAAAGAAAGCTTACAATAGGCCGACCCCTAGCTGACCACGAGAAAGAACATGCTGATAGGTTGGTTGAGCTGTCTCAGGAAGAGGTGGAGGAGAATTTCCTTAGAGGCCCCTTTTTCTCAGAAGAGGAAGTGACGGCCGAGCTGGGCACACCTTGCTGGACCTTGACCAAGCGCTTTTTGCTCGTTCAAGGCGATGATGGGAAAGAGCGCATCATCGATGACTACCGCAGAAGTCATGTCAATGCTGCCTTTGCATCCCGGTCATACCTGGAGTTGCAAGATGTTGATGTTTTAGCATCATTAATAACTCTCTTGATGCGCTTGCTGAAAGAAGGGCCTCAGGTATCGCTCCAGCTCTCTGACGGCACAGTCTTACACGGGAGGCTCTCAAGTGCGGCAATGGCTGGCGAGGCTATTCTGGGACGATGCTTTGACTTATCCAAAGCCTACAAACAACTGGCTGTGAGTTCCGCCAGTCTTAAATACTCAGTGCTTGGAGCCCGAGACAGCAGCGGAAAATGGTTTTACTACATTGGCCAGTCCTTGCCTTTTGGATCAACAGCCAGTGTCTACAGTTTCAACAAAACAGCTAGGGCTCTCCAGTTTCTGCTATGGGAGGACTTTGGGGTAGTAACAACGATTTGGCTCAAGCAGATGAACCGACAAACATCAAATATTTAACGTTACTCTCTCCCCCAGTGGCAGCAGCGAGCTTCGGGGGGGTTGGCTGGCCATCTCTTGCCCGGCTCTTCTTTATCTGGCGGCGGGGGGCTGCCCCCCTCCGCATTATTGGGTCGGAGTTGGCTGGTCTTCCGCTGCTGCCGCTGACGTGCCATGGCTCCTTCCCCGGGATGGCTGGCGGTCTGGCTCCTGCTCTGTGGCTCGCATGTGCGCCTCGTGGGCCTCAGGCCGGTGGTGCCTACAAGAATGCAAGCCAGGTGCCCTGTCCTTCTCCGCACCATCAACCGACGAGAGAGGCGGCACCTCACCCAGGCTTTGAATCAGACCTGGAGTTCTGTGGCCACATCACCGATCTCGTCTTGGGCTCTTCTTCACCGTCACGGCCGCCAACATCACCCAAAGCAGCGCTTCAAGTGGCTTCAACGCCTCCGGCGTCGTTGCGGCCTGACTGGTGTCCGTGTGGGGGAGGCTTCCCACCCTGGCCCTGAGGATCCCTCGCAGCCTTCAGCCATGGAAGTCGATGCCGGGTTGGCTCGTGTTTTCTGTCCGGTTCCTGGCTGCCCTTGTGCCGACCGAACACGAGCACGTGGGTAGGCCAACCATATCAGCATGCGCCACCACATCGATGCTCATCTGTCTGGCAGCTTGCAAGGCGAGGTGCCGCCTGCTTGGCTCCACACACAAGGGCGGACACGCTGCCTGGCCTGTGGCCTCAGTGTGTCTGTCCGGCACGGCGTGCACCCAACTTGCCACCCCGCCCTTCGTGCTGCCACAGCCCCGCCTGCCGCCAATCAGCCAGGGCCTCAGCTACCCTCCTTCCGGGACATCCAACAAGGCAGCACGCCAACCCTCCGCCATGTGCCTCACAATGCTCGGCACTTATGGAGCCAGACTTTAACACGGGCTCTGGCCACAGTGGTGCACCGCAATGATGAACAGGCTTGGCAAGAACTCCTGATGCTGCCCCGTTGTGTGCTCGGCACGCCCCCTCACAGCGGCCGCAAGCATGTCAAGGCCAGTGCTGCCTACACCCTGGATCGCCTCCACCGGTGGCAGCAGGGGGAACGAATGAGTCTTTGGGAGTCTCGTGGCCGCTTGCTGGGAGGCGCTGGGCGCAGCAAGCCGCCAACTGTGGACGAGCAGCGGGCTCTTGCCACTGCTCTGGCCAGGGAAGGGTTTGACAGAAAAGCTTGCAATGCTTTGCAGTCGGAGGGGCTCTGCCCGCAAACCGCTGCCACAACACAAGCTCTTCAAGCTCTTCACCCAGCCCAACCTGTTCCTACTACACCCGAGCTGGCGGCCCAACCTTTGGCCCCAGTGCTGGTGCCTGATGCTGTGGCCCGGGCCTTGCGCAGTTTCCCAGCTGACACAGCTGCTGGCCCCTCTGGATTGCGGGTCCAACATCTTCGGGAAGCTTGTGCGTCTGGCTCGTCCGAAGCGTTGCTACAACAACTCTGCGGGGTGGTCGGCTTGCTAGCTCAAGGCCAAGCATGTGCTGCTGTAGCTCCCAGCCTGGCAGGTGCTAGTCTGGTGGCTCTGCCAAAACCCAATGGTGGCGTGCGGCCCATTGCCGTTGGAGAAATCCTACGCCGCCTCACGGCCAAGTGTTTGATGGAGGCTGTGCGGGATGAGGCCCGGCAGCATTTTGCTCCAGTGCAGCTTGGTGTGGGGACTGCTGGAGGGGCTGAAGCGGCCGTCCACACGGCCCGGGCTTGGCATGACCGCAATGCAGGACACACCGGCAAAATCTTGGTGAAGCTTGACTTCAAAAATGCCTTCAACTTGGTTTCTCGGCAAGCGGTGCTGGACTCTGTTGCCTTGCGGTTTCCTGCTCTGACCCGTTGGGTCATTTGGTGCTACAAGCAGCCTTCGGAGCTCCACTTCGGTCAAACCCACTTGCTCTCGGCTGGTGGGGTCCAGCAAGGAGACCCTTTGGGGCCGCTGCTCTTTGCCAGTGCTCTGCACCCCTTGGCGCTTGAGTTGAGCCAAGGGCCTCTGGACCTCGCCTTTTTCTATTTGGATGATGGCGTCATCGCGGGAGATGTGGCGGCTGTTGGTGCTGCGCTGGCCCACATCCAAACTCGATCGGCTCACTTCGGCCTTCACCTCAATTTGGACAAATCGGAAGTGGTTTGCTTGCACAATGGTAGCTGTTCCGGCCTTGCTGCCCATCTCCAACAGGCCCTCCTGACCGATGGTGCTGGGAACAGTCGTGTTCAGCGTAACTTTGAACTGCTTGGGGCAGCCGTGGGGGATGACGACTTCGTTTCCACTCATGCTCAAGACCGAACAGTCGCTGCCTCTCAGCTCCTGGATGCCATTGGTGGATTGGATGATGCGCAGGTCGGCGTCCGCCTGTTACGCTCCAGCGCTGGGCATTGCCGAATGGTGCACAGCATGCGGTGCTCGCCGCCTGGACCCCAGATGGACAGCTTCAAGATGTTTGATCAACGAGTGCGTGCTTGCTTCAGCAGTTTAACCGGGCTTCACCCAACCGATGCCCAGTGGCAGCAAGCAGCCAGAAGCTTTGCTCAGGCGGGGCTTGGCTTGCGCTCCACGCATTTGGATGGGCCAGCTGCTTACCTTTCATCTGCAGGCAAAAGTCGTCAACTTTGTGCCCAACTTGACTCCAAGTTTTCTGACGCTGACTTCGCCTCGGGGCATTTTGGTACTACCTTGCAGCTCTACAACAGCAACCTCCCGCCGGCTCAACAGGTTACTTTGCAGCAGTGCTTGGGGCAGCCGCAAAAACAGTTGACCACGGCCCTGGACGATACCAGCTGGGAAGCCCAGCTTAGTTCTTCAACTTTGACTGGTCGTGCATTACTCCTGTCTGAAGCAGCACCTGGCGCAAGAGCGTTCCTGGCAGCTCGCCCGCATGGCCTGCTGCGCATTGAGCCTGCAATTTTTGTCACTGAGCTTCGCCACAGACTTGGGCTACCCGATGCTGCTGACGACACATGGTGCCCTCAGTGCAATGGGGTTCTCGACCGTTTCTCTCTGCATGCTGGGGCGTGTTCCGCGGGGGGGGAACGCACCCTCCGGCACCATGCGGTTCGAGACACTATTCTCCGATGGGCCGAGCGGGCGGGCCTACAGCCTGAACGAGAAAAGCCTGGTTTGCTGTTGCCGCAGCGCCCCGAAGACACGAGCCTCGGGCGCCGTCGTCCCGCAGACATCTTTGTACCTAGCTTAGCCGGCCTTCCGACTGCACTTGACATTGCTGTTACAGCACCTCAGCGGTCGGAAAGCTTGCGCGAGGCTAGCTGCAAAAGTGGTGCCGCGGCCGACGCCTATACAGAGGTCAAAGCTGGTCACCTTCAAACCGGCCAAGATTGTGAACGTCAAGGAGTGCGCTTCCAGCCCTTGGTCGTGGAAAGCACGGGCGCCTGGTCTGCCACGGCGTCTCACACTCTCCGGCTTCTGGCTCGAGCAGCCGCGGCCCGGGAAGGCGAAGACGCTGCAGCATGCCACGCCCAACTCCTTCAAGAGCTTTGCGTCACCGTGCGGCGATACCGAGTACGGGCAGTCCTTCGTCGCAGAGCTGAACTGGCCAGTCCTGCTGATGGTGATGTTGCCCGCCCTGCTGCTGCTCTACTCTTATCTGTGGATCCTGCCCAATAGTTCCTTCGCCTTTGTCGTGGCTTTCAGCATAGCTGTACCAAGCGCCTCCATCCATCGTCCGCCAGCGCCACCCTCCCAGCTGACGCAGTGGTTTGGCTACATCGGTCATGGCACCAGTAGTGAGACGGGCGTAGCCGAAGCTTTCACCATTTTTTATTCGTGCGCCCGCAATCACAAGGCCACGTTTGCTATCATGTTTTCCAGTGACGGGTTGCTTTTTTCCAATTCTCCTCAGGAGACTTTGGCTCCCGCTATTGTCTTCCATGCAGCAGGTTTTTTTTCCTAGCCTTAGGCTGTTTTTCCTGCTGCCATCTCCTCACCCACTGAGTGGACTGAAGAGCACATTAGATAGTGTATGTCCCAACACTCACTAAACAAGAAAATCAACAGTCCTCGGGCCCACTTGAGACAACGAACTTTTGCGATGACTATCCCACTTTGGAATTTGCTATGGCTGCAGAAAACACCACCCAAGTGGTGTCGGGTTTCTTCCAATTGCTTGGCTGGCGTCATGCGGTCACTGGCAAGAAAGCCAAGCCCTTTGCATCAACTTTTGCAGCCCTTGGAGTGGAGTATGACCTGGCCAACCTCACCAATGCCTTCTTTACAGTAGGAAACAAACCTGAACGCCTTCTACGGATTGAACGGCTGATTGGCCGAGCGGCCCAGCAAGGCAAGGTGACCAGTTCAGCTGCAGCAAGTATACATGGCCCTTTAAACTTTGCGTCAGGGTTTGCACTTGGCAAACCTCTTCAGCCTGCAGCTCAAGGGTTCTCTTCGTTGGAGCTCCAACCAGCAGTTTTTGCCGACCTGTGCGAACATCCGTTGACAATCCTTAGGTCACTTAGACCACGAAAGGTTGCAACCTCGGATGATCCCCTACCAATAATAATCTACACCGATGGTGCTTTTGGAGAAGACTTAGCAGACTGGGGAGCCATCCTTATTGACCCGGCTACACAAACCCGGGGTCTGCTTTGCTGGCAAGGTGCCTTTCTTTTTACTGGAAGCTTGGCGCGGCTTGGTGGGTGAACAACTCATATGTCAAATTGAGATGTACGCGGTTCTGTGCATCCGCTGGCAGGCGCGGCACCTTTTGCATGGACGCCGTGCAATTCTTTTCATTGACAATGAACCCTGCCGATATTGCTTGATCAAGGGGAGGTCACCATCCGACCCACTTTTTCGAATGGCCCATGCCTGCTCTTGTTTGGAGGGTGCAATGCCTTGTTACTCGTGGTACGAGCGTATCGCATCCTATTGCAATCCGGCAGACCTTCCTTCCAGAAGGCGAACCGCCGAGGCATGCCAAAAGTGGTGCTTGAGTTTCGGTGGAGACGTAAGATTGCCGGCAGAGCTCTTCACTTCCATCTTAGATGGATCACCTTTTCCTAGAGTGGAATGGGATGGCTGCGAGGCGAAATGGATCCTCACACAACGGGGGAAACACATGGATCCAATTGGCTGAGGTCTCTTAGAGACAAACCAGTCATAGGCGACATAGAGCTGTGACAAGGGTGACATCGACAAATCCCGACAGTCACCGTGAACCGTGTGATTTCTCCCCCGACTCTGCAAGCAAAAAGAGTGAGCCGTGCTGCACCTCGTTTGTCCATCTGAGCGCACTTCGTTATTTTATTTGAGTGAAATTTTGAGTGAAAGTTTTTAACCAGCACTTCCTATTACGCGCTGTGTAACTTGGAAGTTTCCTTCTAAACGGCCTTGGGGGTTGTGAAGACGTAGGTGAATCATGGGCACCATGAAAACCTCGTCTTTTCTACCCTGCGTAGGAACGAAGCGCACAAGGTCGTTAAAAAAAACACAAACCAAACTGTGGAGAACATTCCTCAGAACCTCGTTTTGTGTTTACTTGTATCTTAGCTGTTCATAGAAACATCTTCGGTGACATGTCTGATGATTTGTTTCACGTGCATTTTACATCTCAAATTTTAGGGATGTGGTGGGCGGGTTCACACAGAAATTTTCTGTGAATTCCCATAATTTTTGACCCACCCAAACTGCCTCTTCGAGTCACCCACCCTCAAAAACTGGGGGAAACACATGGATCCAATTGGCTGAGGTCTCTTAGAGACAAACCAGTCATAGGCGACATAGAGCTGTGACAAGGGTGACATCGACAAATCCCGACAGTCACCGTGAACCGTGTGATTTCTCCCCCGACTCTGCAAGCAAAAAGAGTGAGCCGTGCTGCACCTCGTTTGTCCATCTGAGCGCACTTCGTTATTTTATTTGAGTGAAATTTTGAGTGAAAGTTTTTAACCAGCACTTCCTATTACGCGCTGTGTAACTTGGAAGTTTCCTTCTAAACGGCCTTGGGGGTTGTGAAGACTTTCCTCTCCCGTGAGCAGAGGGCACAAATGTTTGTGCAAAAACGTGCAAACTTGGTATTGTGGAACGTACGCGATAGAGCCAAGGAGGAGAAGAAGAACCAAGGACAATGGACCCAGTGATTGAACCAGAACCTCACAGTTCCCACGGACGTATTGCATCCCTGCTGGAACATGTGAGGCGCGACTAAAATATTGCACGTCCACTTCAAGCAGAGCGTTGGACAGAAATCAATCAGTTGCAAGGTGCGGTCGCCATACTTTTGGACGCTACAAGCGGTGCAAATCCAGAAGGATTGTCAATGAGGGTGGGGAGATGTGAGGAATATCTTTCAAAACTTGTAAAGGATTCACAGAAACAGAGGGCTGGACGAGCGCATGGAACGTTTTAGAGTTTACGTTGAAGACATGAACTCCTTGATGCAGTGAGATGAGTGGGGTTGCAAAACTATGATTTACCAGCAAAACATGCTGGGAATGCGTTGGGGAAAAAAACTGCGCTCATATCCCAAAGGAGGAGCGCAGAGAATTGTGAAACCCACTCATTGGTGACACTTGCAAGGATGACATGCACAAAGTCGAGAAAATTTGCAGTTGTTTTCACTTCATTTGAGCCACATGAATAACATGTGAGGCCCCGTTATCGTGAGGCCCTTTTAGGCACAAAACAGGTGCGAAATTTTCGTCCATTGCTTCGCACTTTGGTTTACAATATTCTTTTTCAGATCGCCAGTTCTTTTGTTTGCTTTGTTGTGGCAGAGCGACATGATGTTTGTTGTAATGCTTCTACTGAATGTATTCTTAGTTTTTGCATCCATGTGTCGGTTTTTGCGGTTTGCAAGGCATGATCCACAGAGTGGATTTGAAGTGCAAAAGTGTGGTTGGCTGATTGTTTTGTGGATTGTGGGGTATGAACCCAATGTAAAAGAACGGTTGATTGTGCAACGTAGGCTCCAAAACATGATGGACCATTTTATGGACTTGCAAATTAACATGGATTCCCGAAACAGTTTTGCTATATATTGGTCTTCGCATCATGCGCATTTTTTCATGTTTGGGCGCTTTTTCCGACGTATGTTTGCGTGATCGTGAAACGCATCATTGCTCAAATTGTTCAAAAGGCGATGGGCATTCCTTCAATCAATTTTGAGTGTTTGCTTCGGCAAAGTAAGGAATAATAACAAAACATGAACAGCTCTCATGGATTTTGGCATGCGTGGATGAAATGATATTTTTTTGGCCTACCATTCGTGGATTAGCAGGTGTCTCCATGGTTCGGTTCGCCCACATGATCCCGAAACAAACATGGCAACAATGAACCGTTGGCCTTCGGTATCCTTCGGTTCAAGCTTCTTTGATCGCCAAGGGGGTTCAGGAGAAATGGCAGACGAAGACAACTCCGATAAGGAGTAACTGGGACCGCACCAAGGTTCATGATTTTCGTCCAGACTATTTTTGTTTCGATCAATTTATTCTGGGAAGATGCAAAACTCAATGCAAAAAACAATGACAGGTACCTGTTGCTGTTTGCAAGTCCCGGTGTGACAGTTGAATTTGAATCGTGATTGCAACAGTTTTTGATTTGATGTACAAAAAAAACATGTCGAAATTGTTGTTCATTTGCCAGTTTTTTTTTTGTGGCATATTCGGTAAGTCACAAATCGTTGTTTGCCAAGGCAAGAACAAGAGCCTGGTGAAAAACAGGACGGCTTGGCGGAGGTGGATCCCGGTGTTTGGCCATGACGGAAATTGATGGCAATTGCAATTAGAGCGTTTGTTTGCTGAATGTATATAATTATTAATAGTTGCTTCTGAAAACGAAAATTACCACAGCGCTCACATTCAAACCGGGCAACGGTAGGAAATTCGGAGTTCATTTGGCGCTTTTCCAAACATTGCCAGGATGGAGAAATAAAAACCGATGAGGTCGGGCAGGATCACACGGCATGGAACAGTTTTGAACAGTCAGGAGATACAGAGCGTTCGGAACGTGCTAGGTTGTTTTTCATTTGTTTTGAACATGAACATCATGAGCCAGGTTGACAAGGAAAAGGAAAAATCCCAGGAAAGATCTAGAGAACGATCCCGGGAAAAGTCTCGTGAGAAGTCTCGGGAGAAGTCGCGTGAGAAGTCGAGAGACAAGTCCCGCGAGAAGTCGCGAGACAGATCGCGTGATCGGGACCCTTGGCTGCAGGGCTGAAGGGTTCAACATGATTGGAATATGGTTGCACTATAGGAACTATAACTATGCACACATTCACATTTAATATGAACATACACGGGTAAACAAATTGAAACGCTGATCACGAAACTTCCCCCCAAAAAAACAGAACCAGTTTTTGGCAATGAGAGGGGGTAAAGAGGCACCGAGAAGAAAAATCAGGAGTCACAGGATGAAGACAATGGGTTCGGTTGTGACACAAATGTAGTAGTCTCGCCAAAAAACCATCAACAATGTGACATGGTTCCGGTTGAAAATTGGTCAATCCTACAAGTCAGCAGTTCCCTTTCCTCTATTAATTCTATATTGATTCTCCCGCAATTTTCGCAACTTGAACACTCCATCAGGATCGAGGCCGAGACAGGGCCAGAGACTAAGTCACAAGTCCCCTCAGTTTTTTCTGCCAAACGAAAGGTTTTCGATCGAAGGTATTTGAATGAAGGGGTCAGATCAGACATTGAGCATGTTGTGCTGACCAGACAGTAGGCTGCTGAATGCCAATGGAGAAATCATTAGAAGTCTGTGTTTGATAGTTTCAAAGGACAGAAGCCGCAGTCGTGGAAAAGACCGTGAAAGGAGGTCGTTCCTCAGTGTGTCTGCAGATGCAGTGATCCATTTGTTGAGTGTGTAGTTGCAGACATCAAACAGTGCAGCTTGTGAAGTCAGTGCTCATATGATTTAACCCTATTAAATCCGTTCAGCTTCCATGGGAGTTCCAAACTTCAGGCGTGAAGATCGAAAGGTCTTAGCTGTCTCCAACTTGAGTCGAAATGATCGGCACTCGGAGCTTTCCTTGTGTGGCTGGAACATTAGCCATCATTAGCCATTGGTCTGAAGTTGTTGGGGTTTCTATTGCATTTGTGTATCTTTGATGTTCTGCATTCAGAGAACCATATTTTCTATACTTCTATACTTCTCCTGGTTCAGAGAAAGAGAGGGCATTATGATTTGTTAGTGCAATCTTATCATGAAAGCTAGCTTCTGCCAGTTGAAGTCCCTCTTGCTTTAGCAAGGTATTGGCAGGAGCTGGAATCGCCAATCACATGAAACTTCGCAGTTAACTAATACCCAGCTGGCCTGGCTGTGTTGGAAGCAGTTTTGGTGGGGCTCAACCGCCCCTGGGCCATCGTCGCCGTCAGCATCAGCATCAGCATCAGCATCGTCGCCACCACATCATAGTCACAGCAGCAGCTTTAGTAAGATGTCTTCATTGTTGTCAGTTCATTTCTTGCTGATACGGGCAATTTCATCACCTGCATCCTCCTGCTCCTCGTCCCCCCTCCTCTTCCTCATTGTTGCACACACCCTGATAGCTTTCCTTCCTCACCCCCTTGGCCTTAAGTATTTGTCTGCAGTTCACCGTCGTGTCCACTCTTACTGCCTTGTTTTTGCATTGAATTCTTTCAAACCATTGGGGTTCAGTTTCATTACTCTGTAAAGTGCACTGCATAAACCTGTGGTGCAAGCCCAAGGTGAACGAAGATCATCTCAAGGAAATTTTTGGCAACTACGGAAAGGCTGGATAAGTATCTGTTCAAATTGCTCGGGCGACTGCTGTGCTGATTGCGACTTTGTTCTAAATCTCTGCACGTCACGGCCCGAGGGCTCTCCTTGCACATCGTGATTGCTCTTTTTCGTTTCACGCTTTTTGCTAATTTGTTCCTGTATCTGATGCTTGCATCAAGGGTTGTGCACGAGCAGTCTTTTCTTCGTTTGTCAGGTAAAGGAAGCAACCTTGGCGATCGATAAGACTGCAGGTCTCCCAAAAGGTCAGTTTCTCATGGGAAAGTATGGGAAAAGCGGGCAACTCCTGAAATGTGGCGTCTCCTTCACCTCTCCACGCCACAGCTGAGGCTACGCGTATGTTGAGTTCTACGAGGAGAGAGATGTTCTGTCCCTAATTCCTTTATTTTGCCAAATGTGATCTTAGAGCTAGGTGGAGATACGTTTTGTGCAACAGATCTCCATCTTTTATATCCTGGCACTATATAAAGTTGACCTGTGTCCGTTTGTGCGTTTGCACGAGGCAGACAGGGCAATCTCTCATTTGAACACTGGACAAATCGATGGGAATGTGATCAGGGTTGAAGCCTTGGAGGGTCTGTGTTGAACAAAGCGCTCAATCACCTTTGATGTGTTCCACTACAACCAAGCCAGAAACTCGCAGAAAATCACCCCCCACCTGACAGCCGCACAAGGTGGAACATCAAGCAGACCGTAAAAGAAGGCTGCTAGGGCAGGGTGCATGCAGTGTGCTGGGGGTGGTAATGTTTGAAGTCAAGAAGTCAAGGAATGAATCAAACTCGCCACAGTCTAAGTATCAAGACATGTAGCATATAGATAGAGAGACAGAAGTTGTACGGTGTGTGAAAAGTGCCCTACATATGTCTATATACATTTTACGAAAGCCAGCTAGCTGGCTAGTTGCTGTTTGCGAACGAAGTGAGAATAGGGGGTGTGGGGGGGGTGGTTGCCGAAAGGGAACGAAATCTCGCCGTGCCCCTGTGTTGAGCGCCAGAAAACGGAGCATTTTGCTGGATTATGTACCACTAGGCAATTTGCTGACGGTGGGGTATCGATTCCCCCTAGGTCCGCCTTTTTGGTGGCCGGAGAGACCATGAGGATGTATTGGAAAATACAATGAAACTGCAGGAGAACATGATAACGATCAGAGGAAATCGTACAAAATCCCCTGAAAAACGGACGAAAACGGAGCGAATGCGAGGAACAAACCATGGAAAATCCCTTGGAAAATGGAGGAAATCGGAGCGAACGCTAGGCGCAAACCATGACGATGCAGTAAGCATGCTGGAAAAATACAGTGAAAGTGCAGGAAAATGTGATAACAACGGGAGGAAATGGTGCAAAAAGGATCGGAAAATGAAGGAGACAGGTAAAACTCTTGGATTAACATTAATATTGAAAAGGTATGAAAATGCAGGAAACCAGAGGACATGGTGCAAAAACCTATGGAGGAAAGAGGTGAAAATGATAGGAAACATGTAGTAAAAAAATGCTGGACAAAACATATTGAAACCCCACGAAGAGGATGTATTGGAAAATACAATGAAACTTGAGGAAAACATGAAAACGATCAGAGGAAAATGCGAGGAACAAACCATGCAAAATCTGTTGGAACATGGAGGAAACCGGAGTGACTGCTAGGAACAAACTATGACGATGCAGTAGACATGTTGGAAAAAGACAGTGAAAGTGCAGGAAAATGCGATAACAACCAGAGGAAATGGTGCAAAAACGATCGGAAAATGAAGGAGACGGGTAAAGCTCTTGGAAAAATACATTGAAAATGCAGCAAACCAGAGGAAATGGTGCAAAAAGGAGACGGGTAATAATCTTGGAAAATTAGATTAAAAATGCATGAATAGACTGAAAACCCACGAAGAGGATATAGAAACTGCAGGAAAACATGATAACAATCAGAGGAAATCGTGCAAAATCCACTGGAAAGAAAACAGTACAACATGGAGGACACGCGTGAACATGCTAGGAGGCATGTAACATGTTAGAAAAATACGTGAAAACCAAGGAAAATGTTATATCTATTTATATCTAAAAATGCTTTAAAAAATATAGTGAAAACCAAGACAATGTTAACGAGCGGAAACGATGGAAAGACCAGTGGCGCGCAGGAAAATCTGCGAAAACGACGTTAAAAAAGAGGAAAAGTGTTGGAAATTGGTGGACAAAAATATAGCAATTTACAGACCTGCTTCCCCCCCCCCCGGGTTTCGAAAGTAGTGGCAGAAGTGTTGAGAACGCTAGGAAAATGTATTGCGACGAGTGCAAGTGGAGAACGTTAAAAGCTAGAGGGTTGGAGAAGTGGAGTGATCATGGTACCGAATGAAAGTAAGAGATGTGTTGGAGAGCAGCAGATCGGATGACTGTACCTCCGTTTGATTGGTGAATGGGACATCTTTCCAAGGTGTGAAAGAACTGATAGATCACCTGGATAAAACATATTGAAACCCCACGAAGAGGATGTATTGGAAAATACAATGAAACTTGAGGAAAACATGATAACGATCAGAGGAAAATGCTAGGAACAAACCATGCAAAATCTGTTGGAACATGGAGGAAACCGGAGTGACTGCTAGGAACAAACTATGACGATGCAGTAAACATGATAGAAAAAGACAGTGAAAGTGCAGGAAAATGCGATAACAACCAGAGGAAATGGTGCAAAAACGATCGGAAAATGAAGGAGACGGGTAAAACTCTTGGAAAAATACATTGAAAATGCAGCAAGCCAGAGGAAATGGTGCAAAAAGGAGACGGGTAAAAATCTTGGAAAAATAGATTAAAAATGCATGAATAGACTGAAAACCCACGAAGAGGATATAGAAACTGCAGGAAAACATGATAACAATCAGAGGAAATCGTGCAAAATCCACTGGAAAATGTTGGAAAGATACAGTGAAGGAAAATGTGATAACAACCTGGCAGGAAAATGTGATAACAACCAGAATAAAGTGTGCAAAATCTGTTGGAACATGGAGGAAACCGGAGCGACTGCTAGGAACAAACTATGACGATGCAGTAAACATGCTGGAAAAATACAGTGAAAGTGCAGGAAAATGCGATAACAACCAGAGGAAATGGTGCGAAAACGATCGGAAACTGAAGGAGACGGGT